ATTCATTAAAATGCACCGCTAATGACTCGCCATGAGGATTATTGTGACTAAATCCTCGTCTTGTGCCTTTCCTGAGATATGTAGAAAACTATTATTTCAACCAACCTATGTAGTAATTACTTTCCAAATAGTCTACGAGAGGGTCTAGGGTTATTGTTAATCACATACTTAAAATCGTTAAGGGATATTGTAACCGTAAATTCTTATGATTTTGATATTAAATAGGGTTAGAACCAAGGAAAATGCAATAACCCGTTGTTGACCTTCTATCCTTTATCGAGGATGCCCAATCAATATTTGTAACACACCAGATTGAGTACACATACAATCCATGATCCAATGTACCACACAAATATCTCTGGATACGCTTTACAGTTCTCCAATGGACATCATAAGGATTATTCATGAATTGGCTCACTACATAGGCTATGTCCGGTCTGGTCAAACAAACATATTGCAAGCCTCCAATCACACTTTAGTACAAGAGTATATCAACAAACCTTTGTTCATCCTCAACTCGCACCATTGCCATAAGCGTGGGAGCAAGCCTGACAGCAAGCATATCGGTTTTAATAAGCAAATCTGAACATATTTTCGTTTCTTTAAAAGCAATCCTTGAGAACATTTTTTACCTCCATACTCGGGAAAAACTCAGGTTCTTCCAAGTGTTTGAGAGAAAATTCAGAATTGATGCACTACACTACCTTATTTACTTCATTTGAGTGACTGCCAGCGATGATGATATCATCAACATAAACCATGAGAACAATTTTTTAGGCAGTAGCATTTCGAATGAACAAGGAAGTGTCGGTAGGAGAGGCAGTGAAGCCAAGTTTGGAGAATAGAAAACTCTTTAAAGTATCAAACTAGGCTGAGGAGCCTGCCGAAGACCATAAAGGGCTTTGTTAAACTTGCACAAAAGCAGCTCTCCAGACTGTCCAACTATTTCAAAACCAGGTGGATAAGAGATAAAGATTTCTTCAACAAAATCTCCATTTAAAAATGCATTGTCGATGTCAATCTTCCTGACACACCGCTTATTAATGAAAGTAGAAGCAAGAATTGTCCTAATTGTGGCAGCTCGAATAACAAGATTCAAAGTTTCCTTAAAATCAATGCCAACCTTATGAGAATAAACTTTGGCGACCAACCGAGTTTTCAACCTTTCAACAGCTCCATCAAATTTTTGTTTGATCTTGAATATTCACTTACACCCTACTGGCTTGTGATAACCCGATAGAGGCTGTAAAGACCAGGTACTATTCTGAAGAAGTGCATCATATTCTTTTTGAACAAAAGACCTCCAATCAGGATGCTATAAAACCTCAAAGACATCCGCTGGTTCATTGTCCTTAAATTCAGTGTTATACACCTTAGGCTTAAAAATGCCAGACTTGTCTCTAGTAACCATTGGATGCACATTGGTAACAAATTTCAAAGATGGCATGATAGTGGAAATGATGGTCAATGTAGGTAGCAATGGAGGTGATAAAGTAGATGATGAAGGTGGAATAGTGGTGGATGTAGGTAGCAATGGAGGTGACTGTTGTAAAGGTGATAAAGTATATGATGAAGAAGGAATAGTGGTGGATGTAGATAGCAATGGAGGTGATTGTTGTGGAGGTGAAATATTAATTTAAAAGGAACATGAAGTATCAAGATGTTGGGAAACAACAAAAGTAGGCAAAACCATACCCTGTTTGTACAATGCACGAAAGGAAAAACAACTGATTTAACCTTTGAGGTTACAACAGAATAAAAAAAATCACGTGGAAGCTGAAAATCTAAAGACGACTGACATCCCTTCCAGGAGGACACATTTTGATGTGAAACACACGGAAAAACACTCTCATCATATTGAACATGCCTAGAAATATAAAATTTCCCTGAGGAATCCATACATTTATATCCTTTGTGTCTAGGAGAAATCCTAAATAAAGACATGTGAATGATCTATATTGAAACTCGTGTTGATTAAATGGTCTTAAAAATGGAAAACACAAGCAGTCAAAAACCCTTACTAAACTATAATCAGGAGAAACATTAAATAACTCAGTGTAAGGACATATACCTTCTAAGGCCGAGGTCGGAAGCCTATTAATCAGGTACACTACATTGGAAAAGGCATCGTTCCAAAAAGAAAGAGGCATTGAAGCCTCTGCTAGGATGGCCAAACCAACTTCAACAATCTTTCTGTGTTTCCTCTCCACAAGACCATTCTGTGCTGAAGTGTGAGGGCATGACAGTAGATGCAAAATGCCTTGACCCTTAAGATAGACTTACAAAGCAAAAAATTATCCCCCGCCATCAGTTTGAAGAGCAATTAACTTCCGACCAAGTTGCCTTTCAACCTGTCTTTGAAACTAAACAATCACATTATAAACCTCAGATTTTTGCTTCAGAAAATATAACCATGTATAACTCGTATAACCATGTATAACTATAGTGCTACAGCACAGCCATATTGTCAGAAGCCAAGTAAAACAACATTGTAGGTCCATCGGTCTAATTGCTCTATTTTTTGCTGCAACATTTCCCTGCTTTCACTATCTTGATTTGTCTATCATTCAAAACATATGACATATGACATATTATTCAAAACATTAAAAGTGATGTGTTCATCATTCAAACACATAGTAAGTTCCCCTTTTTCAATATCGATCAAAGCTCGGCCCGTGGCAAGGAATGAGCGGCTAAGAATTGGGGACATCTTTGTTAGCTTCGCAATCCAAAATGATGAAGCCCATGAGGAATATAAACTTATCAAACTGAGCTAGCATATTCTCCACAATGCCATTAAGATGCATGGTGGATAGATCAACAAGTTGCAAAGTGACAATAGTAGGTCTTGCTCCTCCACTTCCAAACTTCCTAAAACATTGACAATGGCATTAAATTAATGCTAGCACCCAAGTCACATAAAGTTTTTTCTACAAATTTATCACCAATAATACAAGGAATAGTGAAACTCCTTGGATCTTTAAGCTTATGTGGTAATCGACTTTCGGCCATAGCACTGCATCCCTCGGTAAGAACAATAGTTTCAAATTCCCTAAGTCATCTCTTCTTAGAGAGAACTTCTCGAATGAACTTGATGTAATATGTATTTTGCTCCAAGCTTCAATCAACGGGGTGTTGATTTTCAATTATTGAAGAACATCAACGAATGCCTTAAATTGTTGATCCTCCTTAGTCTTCTTAAATCGTGGAGGGAATGGTGGAGGCATCCTTGTCTATGGTTGTTGTGGCATTGGTGCCGAAGAAGTGTCTAGCAGTGTATAAGGCATTGCTGCAAGCAACGGTCCAGAATTATTGCACTGTCCTGCTTCTCTTGTTGTGACATTAATAGTGGACATTTCAAGATCAACTTCCATGCTTTTACCCTTGTCATGCTTTATAACCCCTTCATCAACTTTATTCTTGGGGTCTTCAATAGGTTTCCCAATATGGAGACCACTTCAAATAGTAATAGCCTTGCATGCTCATTGCATTGAGCTTTCCCTTGCTGTTTTGGATTCTCGGTATCACAGTGCTACGTCCCTTGTAGTCTATTTCTCAAAGCATTCACCATTTGGCCAACTTGATTCTTTAAAGCCCTTAATGAGGTTGATTGACTATCCATGTACTCCTTTAATGCTTCAAGAAATGAAAGATTTGAGGTTTGTGTTGAAGATTGTCCTTGATAATTATATTTAAGGACGACAATCATTTTAAAATTTATTTGTACCATTCTATTTAAAATTATTACGATGTTAACCTATACGTGCATATCCTACAAAAAATTTTCGGGATGCGCCGCTGTCACTCGCAGTTACAATTGAATGAAACAAAAGATTCTCAATTTCAGCATCTGAATATTTGACTTGTGCCAACCAAAATATTTTGCATGGCAGAGACAAGCACACGTCTACTTTCCTAATGGAACTGTTTTCTGTTCTCTTTACCACAAATAAGAATTGGCCACAAATGGAACCCAAAAAATCAAAGGGAAAAAAGACTGAACAGCAACAGAACACGTTTACCCCACACTCCCTCTCCGCACAATCTCTCGTACCCAATCACAACACTCTCTCTTCCATCTCCTCCTTTGATTTTTGACCCCTCAAATATATTCTTTGCTCCATCCTCTGGATGTCACTGTAGTATTGCAGTACATTCAAAACAAAACACGGGTACCAAAAATATAAAAAAGTAAAGTTACAAAACGGTCCTTCAATTATATGGTGCTATTTTGTTGAGTCCCTGCCATTAAAAATTACAAATTGGTCACATATTTATATGTTCTAAACTAGCCTTTTTCTATTAAAAATTGATGGTTATTTGAGTTAAATGTTAACATGCTGAAAGATATGATAAAATCACATTTTAATGATGTCTACTGGCACCGATGTTGCTTTCAAGCATTGCCTCGACAATATAATACTTCAAACACTAGTTCAACGACATAATGTAAATTGAGAATCGATCCATAATTCGGTTCAAACGGTTGTAGGATTATATTTTATCATATCTTAGTTAATACGTTAAAGTCCATCTCAAACAATCATAATTTTTTTAATGAAAAATGACGAATTTTAAACATATGAATAGTCAAGTGATCATTTTTGGTATTTTAATTTTTGGGGACTCAATAAAATAACGTCCTAAAGTTGATGGATCATTTTATAATTTTTAATAATTGAGAGATTCAACAAAATAGTGCCCTATAATAAGAGGATCATTTGTGCACTTTACCCAAATATAAAAAATAGAGAAAAAGGTCCAATTTTCTTCTTATTCTTCACCTCATATTCTTTCTGAGGCTCATACTCAAAAGCCCATTCTTTCCAACTCAAAAACAAACCTCAAAATCTCATGTATATATATATATATATATTTTTGAAGATTCTATTAAAAAGAATCATTCTTGGGAGAGTATACAAGAGATGGAAGCTAGATTATTTGCATTATAATGTGGGTTTTCCTTCCCTTGGAAAATAAACATATTTCTCACTAGTGAAATGGAGAAGGCTTCATGCTCGTTTTGTGGAAGAATTCCTTCAACTACAACAACAAAAGCTTTTGCTCTGAGTGTTCAAAAGAGTAGCTGTTTGAGTTCTCTGCCATTCTCCTTTTCTCCTCCTTTGAAATCAATTTGTTTATTTGTAGGCCATAAATATAATTTACCCTCAACAAAATTTCATCCCAAGCAGTTTGTTTCCAATGGTAGTGGAGAAAGCAGTGGCAGCCAAAGTAGCAGCAAGTTCATTACTACTACAAAGAAGAAGCCTAGAAGCAACCCAAAATTTAGCAAAAGTGAGATTAAGTCTACCCCTAAGCCCAGTGATAATCTCAGTAGGACAAAGATACTAGTGGAAGAACTGGGGTTGTTGAAGAAACAGAAGGAACAGAAGGTTCAGAAGACTAAGTCTTTAAATGTTAGAACTTTGTATCAAAATGGGGATCCTTTGGGAAGAAGGGATCTTGGGAAGAAGGTGGTTAGGTGGATTAGTGAAGGGATGAAGGCAATGGCTTTGGATTTTGTGTCAGCAGAGTTGCAAGGGGAGTTTTTGGAGTTGAGACAAAGGATGGGACCTGGATTGACTTTTGTGATCCAGGCACAGCCTTATCTCAGTGCTATTCCCATACCCCTTGGCCTTGAAGCAATTAGTTTGAAGACTTGTGCACATTATCCAACTTTGTTTGATCATTTCCAGAGGGAATTGAGGAATCTTCTTCAAGACTTGCAGCAGAAGTCTGTGGTTGATGATTGGAAGGAGACTCAGTCTTGGAAGCTGCTTAAGGAGCTAGCGAATTCCTGTTCGTTTTCTTTCGTTATTGTTGAAATTATTTTCGTATTCAACTTTATTTCTAGCCTGTAGGTTGAATATAGCATTAGTTTTTTGTTTTAATTTAGTGTTTGGAATATGTTAATTAATGAATTTAGTAGTTTTAATATAGCATGAATTTAGTTGTCTAACTTAGTTTTCGGGATATGCAAATTAGTGAATTTAGTTGTTTGGTAAGAAAGTGAGTTTGAGCTGGAAGTGATGGATTTTGCAGCTCAGCATAGGGCGATTGCTCGAAAGAATACATTGCCCAAGACTGTTCAAGGTGTTTTAGGGATGGACTTGGAGAAGGCTAAGGTCATGCAAGGCAGGATTGACGAGTTTACGATTCGAATGTCGGAGTTGCTTCAGATAGAGAGGGATGCGGAATTGGAGTTCACGCAGGAGGAGTTGGATGCTGTTCCTACACCTGATGAGGGTTCAGATTCATCGAAACCTATTGAGTTCTTAGTTAGACACGGCCAGGCTCAGCAAGAACTTTGTGACACCATTTGCAGTTTGAATGCTGTTAGCACATCAACAGGTTATCTACTGATTTATTTTTTAGTCTTTTTCTTCTTATACAAGGTTGGTAATCCCATGTTTGTTCCTTCATTTGCTCCTTTGAATGCAGTTCTGCAGTTTGTTGCAAAAATGGTGGTTTAGATTGCTAATGCTTTTAGAATTGTGTTGTGTATAGGACTAGGTGGAATGCATTTGGTGTTATTTAGGGTTGAAGGGAATCATCGGCTGCCACCTACAACCCTGTCTCCCGGGGATATGGTTTGTGTGAGGATTTCGGACAGCAGGGGAGCAGGTGCAACTTCTTGCATCCAGGGATTTGTTGACAACCTTGGAGACGATGGCTGCAGCATTAGTGTTGCTATGGATTCTCGTCATGGTGATCCAACTTTCTCTAAGCTATTCGGAAAAAGTGTTCGCATTGATCGTATTCATGGTTTGGCTGATACACTCACATATGAGGTATTTGATAAACGCCTTTTATTTTTTCAGTGTTTGGGCTTACATTCCCTGGATGATCAGCATGTTAGTTTTACAACCGCTGATATATTTCTTAACTCATAGTTATGTTTCCAAATTCCACTTGACTAGTATAAATTCATTCCTTTCTTATTGTCTGTAGCTTTAAATTTGTATGATGTATCGATGCTTTCTCATGATAATTTTGAAATGCCATGAAAGAAAATGAATTTTTATTGAAACACAAGGGCATAAAAGTTCGTTTATAGTATTTACAGAAAGTGCTATTATCAAGGCTCTATACTTTTTTTATTCTCACCATTCATATTTTTGAGTTCAATGGACATTATTAAACCTGGTTCCACCTTTAATGCTTCTGAAATCCTTTGTGGGTTACATATTATTTTTATTTCAAATTCCATAATTTTTTATCATTGTCATAATGCTTGGGAGCATATTCTGTACTTTTCAGTCATGACTGAGTGAAGTAGCCGTTTTCCTCATTTTTTTTCTTCTCTGATGTAATGTCTTCATTTCTGGAAAACTAATTGGCAGTACCAAAACTTTTCAAGAAAAGTGTGTGCCTGTTATGTAAGGACCGCTGAACCGAAGCTATCCTATCTCATTTGACTAGGGAAACCATGTCATTTATAATTGTATTCTCGAAGAACCTTTATAGTGAGTGATTACCAAAACTCCCCTTTTTGAGGTACAAGGGATCATCTAAAGCTAGAAAAATGCAACCTCTAACATAGTAATATATAGGTCTAGGTGGAACACAAGGTGGCTCAATGTAAAGTTTGTTAATTACTTATGAATTCCTCGAGTAGCATCTCCCTACTGCCAAGACATGCAAATTGTTTATCGGAACCTGAACTGTTCAGTATATTGGTTTTACTACAACAAAACTGACTACCTAAGAAAATTTCTAGAGTTTTTTGAACCTGTTTTCCGGTAAGATGCTAGATATTTCAAGCTGCAGTTCTTGGCTAGGGCTACACCCTCTTTTACTCTGTTTAGGTTCATGTCAGTATGAGGTTTCATGTGGTGAATGATTCACTATGTAGCTTTCCATAAGGAATTAGCTAATAGAGAATACATCTTAACTTTTGAGGTAGTTTTATGAATTGCCAGTAAGTACTAATTCCAGAAATATTTCGACCACTTTCCAGATTATTTTTAGTTAATATATTTATTTTTCGAGTGTTTCTGTTGAATAATGCTTACTGTATCTAACTGCCCTCTAATGGAATTTTTAGCGCAACTGTGAAGCCTTAATGCTGCTCCAGAAGAATGGCTTGCAGAAGAAAAACCCTTCAATTGCTGTTGTGGCCACACTGTTTGGAGACAAGGAAGACGTGGAATGGTTGGAGGAAAATGGTTTGGTCGAATGGAACCAAGCAGAGTTGGATGGATTACAGCATGGAACATTTGACAACTCCCAGCGAAAAGCAATTGCTTTAGGCTTAAACAAGAAGCGTCCTCTGATGGTTGTTCAAGGACCTCCAGGCACTGGAAAGACAGGCATGCTCAACGAAATTATAGCACTTGCTGCACAACAAGGTGAAAGGGTGCTAGTAACAGCGCCTACTAATGCAGCTGTTGACAACATGGTCGAGAAACTTTCCGATACAGGATTGAACATAGTGCGTGTTGGAAACCCTGCACGTATTTCTTCAGCTGTAGCATCCAAGTCTTTGGTTGAGATTGTCAATTCTAAGCTTGCAGATTACCAAGCAGAGTTTGAAAGGAAGAAGTCGGATCTAAGAAAAGATCTTCGACTTTGCCTGAAGGATGATTCTTTAGCTGCCGGAATACGCCAGCTATTAAAGCAGCTTGGTAAGGCACTGAAAAAGAAGGAAAAGGAAACAGTGAAGGAAGTTCTATCAAGTGCACAGGTCGTGCTTTCTACCAACACGGGAGCGGCTGATCCACTTATCCGAAAATTGGATACTTTTGACATGGTTGTTATAGATGAAGCTGGGCAGGCAATCGAACCCTCTTGTTGGATCCCGATATTGCAGGGAAAACGTTGTATACTTGCTGGTGATCAATGCCAACTTGCTCCTGTAATTTTGTCCCGCAAAGCTTTAGAAGGCGGCCTTGGAGTATCCCTGCTAGAGAGAGCTGCAACTTTGCATGAAGGGGTTCTTGCTACCATGTTAAGAACTCAGTACCGAATGAATGATGCAATAGCTAGCTGGGCTTCGAAGGAGATGTATGATGGAGAACTGAAATCCTCTCCCTCTGTTGCATCTCATCTTCTTGTTGATTCTCCATTTGTCAAGGTATGACATCCATTAATGTTTATTCATTCTATAAAATGGAGTATAGATCTTTATAAGTAATGGCTAATGGAAATGCTAATTTTATAAAAAATCTTCAAATTAATTTAAGGGCACAATCTTCTATTCAAATACATGCATGTATGGGGGGGGGGGGTTTCACTTTCCATTGATATTCTTGCTAGTTATCAGGTTTTCCATATTCATCGAAAATTTTCATTTGAGAAGGTTCAAGTTTGATGTTCCTTTGCCTTATTTCAGCCCACATGGATAACACAATGCCCATTGCTGTTACTCGATACAAGGATGCCATATGGAAGTTTGTCGGTAGGCTGTGAGGAGCATCTAGACCTGGCAGGCACAGGGTCTTTTTTCAACGAAGGGGAAGCAGATATCGTTGTCCAACATGTCTTTTATCTGATCTTCGCCGGTAATTGCTCATATCTTTAGTCTACCTCATTAAATGGTGGTTAAATATTGTCTTGTGTATTTGAAAAACTAGTCGAATCGCGTATACTGTTGCATTCTTTAATCAAGTTTTGTTAGTCCTTGATAATTAGAAGAAAGTTAAACTATATTGGACTTGAGAATGTTACATGTATGGACATGATTATGTGTTCATTTTTTCGCATACCTGCCACTCATTTCAAGAGAATGCTCTCTCTCTCTCTCTCTCGATGTGTATAGCAGCTTGTATTCATTTTTTAGTTTAGTTGTCTGTCATTATGTATTATGTCATACTTTTTATTAATATTATAGACGAATAAGTTGCACTTGCTACAACGGTATATGTGCTCAAATAGATTTCTCATACCCGGACGGGGAGACTGTTGTTTGTCTCATATTTTCTTGCCAGATGCATGCTCAAGCAACATATTTTGACATCTCCTACATTGATAAACTCGGTTGAAATTAAGAATCTTCCCTTTTTCGCGTGCCTATGTTTTCGGTATGTGCCAGGAGTCGTAGAGTATCTATAATTTCCCATTCATTATCAACCTCATTTAGGATTTTATTCCCTCTAGATGTATTTATCATGCCGGTTCATCCATCGACTTTTGAACCTATGCCGATAAACTCTTGGCTTTGAACATGATCGGCTTTTGAGAATAAGAGTGAAGGTGTATGTTATAGTGATTGTAGTTAAATTACACAAGTAACACGATCGTATCACCTTATATCTTGTATTTTGCATACTTGAGCTGATTGTCTTCCATAGAGCTTCTTACAAGAAGTGTTCTTTCCCCGACTTTCCCCTTGAATGCGGTTTAAAGTGATGTCTGTTATTAGCTTCTGCATAATACTTATCATCTGGTAGATCAACACCTGCACTCAAATCAGTGCCCGCTTCATTTTTTTGTTTGTTTTTCGTATCTTTTCTTTTCAAGATACATCCATTCTTGCGTTGTAGTGATTAATAGGCCTTGATTGTTACAATCTTCCCTCAACCAAGTTAAGAACTTATTTGGTTTTATTCTCTTATGCAGGTGTTAGCCCGACAGCCATTGCCGTCCAATCACCTTATGTTGCTCAGGTACAGCTCTTACGAGACAGGCTTGATGAGTTGCCGGAGGCTGCTGGTGTCGAGGTCGCGACAATTGATAGCTTTCAGGGTCGAGAGGCTGATGCAGTAATCATATCAATGGTATACATATATATATATATATATATATATATATATATATATATATATATATATTTGCTGTGAAGTTTTTTACTTGCCCTACCCTTTTTGATATAATGGTGTTCTAAACCGGTGCGTAAATCACGGATTGTTTGAAACAGTCATATTCGGACAAAATGCTCGACCGGATCCCAACTATGACTGATTTAGAATGCTTGTTACTGTTTTTAGGTAAGATCAAACACTTTAGGAGCCGTAGGGTTCTTGGGGGATAGTAGACGGATGAACGTTGCCATAACAAGAGCTCGTAAGCATGTTACTGTCGTGTGTGACAGCTCGACAATTTGCCACAACACTTTCTTGGCCAGGCTCTTACGCCATATCCGCTATGTCGGTAGGGTGAAGCATGCTGAACCCGGTGCTTCCGGAGGATCGGGGCTCGGGATGAATCCGATGTTGCCATCCATTAGTTGAACATGACATGGAACAGGTTCAAGTGCTAAGCTTTAAATTTGTTTCAGTGGAATGATTATTTGAAAGTTGAACATGTAAAATAGATGCCTTCGGATACATTTGGTTTGGGCATCTATTGGTCATTTTTGTGAACAAAATTGCTACCCTTCGATTTAGTTGTATATAGAACTATACACATTTGACGAAACATAATTTGTATACATTCCAAACCTGCAAATAATATCAATGAAACCCCCAAAAAATTCACTGTCTTTATAGTTATAATTAAATAAATTTCATATATTTTGTTTAGAATGTCTTAATTTTGGATAAATTACACAATTTCTCATTGAATTATACACTCTCTCCTATTTTACTCATCGTGCTTTCAATTTTTTTAATTTACTCACTAAACTTTCGAATTGCTATTTTTTATCACTCGAATTATTTTATTATTATTTTCATATGACGTGGTATCTTTATTATTATTTAATATAAAATGACTTAATATCACGGTACTATTTGTTTCCAATTTAAAATATTTTCTATAATCATATACAATGCATATATATTTCTTCATATTTTTTCATACTTGATATACACATATCATACAAAGTCGAGAGATTGTACTCAAACTTGAAAATTAAACCTACTAATTATTAAAAATTTTGAGTAATTATTCGAGTTCTATTTTATAACTTGAATTTTGAATTTTTTTGAGTCGATTCGGGTTTATGAAATTACAACTCGAAGTCAATACAAGTTGAGTTTTTTTCGAGTCAACTTGAGTTGAAAAGTTTAGTTTTTCGAGCCGAGTTTTGCCCATCCCTAAGTTTATGAACTTATTTTGACCAAAAAATAGTTTAAGTACATAAAGTGGTGACATATAATAGTTTAAGGACTTATCTTGACCAGCAAATAGTTTAGGGGCTTAAAGCAAAAAGTGAATATAGTTTAGGGATTTTTTAGGTTTAAGCTTTAAAATTTTAAAGATAAATTACATATTTATTCACTCAACTATTCTCATGATTCTATTACAGTAACCCAACTATTCTTTTAAATTATCATTAAATTTAAATTTTTATTCTACTTTAATCACCTAATTCAATTCTATTTATTTTTAAATTTATAATATATAAAAATTCATTTATATCACATATTTAATTGATGAGAATGTTGGCCATTCGGTTGAGGGGAGGACACTAAAAGTCACAACTGGAGTATGGGCCCACCAGTTAGGAAACTCGATAGGTGAGGACACTAAAGGCAAAATTGGCCCATTGCCGCACGTAAAACAAAAATGAGAAAATAACTTCAATGACAAAAAATGCATACGAATTTAACCAATTTTTTGGATTTGCCAAAATGACCAACAAATTCGCAACGCGAACTCCAATTTCGCAACCCAATTTCCAATTTCGCAACGCGAATCTGTAAATCGCAACGCGAATTTGTAAATCACAACACAGAAGTCAAATTCGCAACGCGAATTTAATTTTGCAACAGGTTTTAGTTTCGCAACACAAATGTTTTGGGTATATAACAACGCAGCATCAACAACTCATAACCTAAATCCCTAAATCGTAACTCATTCCATCTCCATCTATCACTCTCTCCGGCGACATCCGTTCTATATCCAACGACATCCTTCCCCATCTCTAATTTTTTTTATATAATTTTATTTCTATATAATTTTTCAATGATTTCTCTCCCAAATTATCAACTATCAACTTAATAAAGGTATGTTTTTCTCTAAGTTAGTGATGATATATAGTTCATAGCTCGTTTGTTTAGTAAATTAATTTACAATTTGTAGAATGAAATCATCTAATGTTGATCATGTTTGGATAGATTTGTGTTTTGGAGGGTCATGAGAGAATGTTCATGGTGTTTTACAATATGTGCCTTTACCCATGAATCTTTAACTAAAACTGTCATTAAAAAAGTTAACTTATGAAACTTTAATGTTACGTGTTGCAAAGAAATTGAATTTAGAGCCTCTAAGTGGATTTAGGCTATCTTATCAGAGAAAATGTAAAGTTTATTTGTTAACCGACAATGAAGATGTTGAACGATTCATTGCTTATATTAGTGTTTCACAAGAAGATGTTACATTGTAAGTTGTTGAACCTAGAAGTAGTGAAGTTGGGTCAGTAGCGGGTAGTAATCAACTAAGTTCTTCAACCCAAAATTTAATGGTTCCACCACAATTTCATCACAAAGCAAATTTTGTTTCACCACATTTTCAATACCAAACACAATATCAAGCACAATCTCAAAACCCACAACCTTTTCCTAATCCAAATCCCAATCAACTTTCAACACCAAATTCCAGTTTTCGTATTGACCAATTAGACGATTATGAGCCAACAGAAAAAATTGTGAGTACTAGTCAGTATTCGAAATTTGATCTTGGTCAATACCCGGACTTTGATCTTGGTCAATACTCGGATTTTGATGATGTGATGGAAGAAGAAACAGACCTTGCATGTAATGATTTTGATATTGGTCAATACCCGAATTTTGATGATGAAACAGCCGCTGTCGAGGAAGATGTTGTTGATGATAATAAGGAAGAAGTTACGACTGTGAATGAACATGTTGAACATCCATTCTGTAATTCATATAACCCTGCAGAAGAAAAAGAAGAAGTCCCCGAAGAAAGAAAAAAGAAAAAAATGCCACGGAGTATAACTGGAATATGCCAGAATTACTTCAGATACCGGAAGAAGAGTTGGTAAAGATAGCAGTTGATTGTTACACAAAAGTTATTCGTATCAAGAAAGATGATTGTTTTGATACAAAGAAAGACTTGAAGATAGCTTTGTATACGAAATGTGTGGAAGATGGCTATCAACTAAAAGTTAACAAATCAAGCAAAGATAGTTTCAAAACAAGGTGTATGATTGACAAAAACTGTACGTGGTGTATGATTGCAAAGAGGATAAAAGATTGCGAAATGTTTCAAGTTAGGACTTTTATTGATAAACATACATGCTCAAGAACCCAAGTTTTTCCTCACCATAGACAGGCAAACAAAAAGGTGTTGGGTGGTTTTCTGGCTGAGTTAATGTTTTTGAATGGAAGGGTATATCGGGGACATGAAATTATGACTGACATGAATGCTCGGTTCAAGATTAGTATCTCATATTCTTAAGCTTGGAGAGCCAAATGTTATGCCTTGAAATTTTTGAGGGGGTCGCCAAAAGCATCGTTTGCCCAACTACCGGCTTATTGTCACAATTTAAAGCTGAAAAATCATGGGTCAGTAACTCATATCAAAATAGATAGAGATGGACGCTTTGAGTTGCTGTTTATCGCCATTGATGCTGCGGTTAGTAAATAATTATAATTTTGTTGACTCATTTTTGTTAGTTGCATGCATTTCACATTTAAATGATTATATTTCATGTGTATATGATTTTGTAGATTCATTCGTTTATTACTTGCATGCGCCCAGTTATTATAGTTGACAGAGCACATTTGAAAAGTCGATACCTTGGAGTAAACTTATTAGCAGTAGCCATGGATGCTAACAATGAGATACTACCAATAGCTTACGGGGTTGGCAAATCTGAAACCTTTGATTCATGGACATGGTTTATGGGGCATCTTAGGGATTGCATAGGTCCTATTAGCAATCTGACAATCATATCCGATAGGGCAAACTCAATTGACAACACTGTTAGAAGGTGTTTCCCAGATGCTTTTCATGGACTTTGTGGTGTTCATTTGTAAAGAAATATAAAATCAAGGTCTGCTGGTATAAAAAATCACAAATGAATATACTGGAAGGCTGTAAAAGCTTATCGGGAAGTGGATTTTCATAAGCTTATAAATTGTTTAAGACGTGTTTTGCCTCAATGTGCTCAAACACTAGAAGATGTCGGGTTTGAAAGATGGTCAAGAGTACATCAACTTGGAGCAAGATATGGTTTCATGACGTCTAATAGTGCAGAATCAATCAACGCTCTAAGTCGTCATTCCCGGAAATTACCCATTACTATGTTATTGGAGTTTTTTCGAGCCTCTATTCAACAGTGGTACTACAAGAAAAAAAACCATGCAGGTATTATTTCTTTAAATTCGTAACTTATCATATATTTTACTAAGTATTATTTATTTAAATTTATTGGAACATTGGAACGTCGTGTTACACCATGGACTGAAAAAAAGATAACGAAACGTGTTGTGAAGTCAACGTCATGGAGAGTTGAACCATGTTCAAACACTTTGTTTGAAGTATTGGATAATAACTTAAATGAGCTTGTCGATCTAAATGCAAAGACGTGTAGTTATAAGAAATGGCAAACATCTAGTTATCTGTGTGGCCATGTTATAAAAGTTGCTCTTCATCTAAACCAAGATGATTCAAGCGCATACGCTATGGATTGCTACACTACAGAAGTATATCGACAGACTTATGCCGAGATTGTCTACCCATGTCCATATCCTTCTGAGTGGGACATACCAGATGACTTACAAACAGTTTTACCACCAGTCATGGACAGCAGGCTACCTGGCCGACCAAAAAATCACGATCGTATACCGTCTAAGGGTGAAGAGAAGAGGATATCGACATGTAGTCGGTGCAAGGAAAGTGGTCATATAAGGTTGACCTGTGGATCACAGTGCCATCACAATCATCTTTTCCTCTACCAAAAAATGGATCCTCATCAAAATTCAAAGCTCATATGGTGCCAAGCAAAAGGAAATCAAAATCGCAATCAAAATCAAAATCCCAATCACAACCGGCTTCACCTTTTGGGACTTATTAACTTAGGTGATTTTTAAATGCAAACGTTGTATTATGTGTATTTTATGTGTGAGTGCATACATTTTCAGTGACATTCATTAGTAACTTGAGTTTGAACATTACTATGATCTGTTCAGTTGTTATCATGTTGGGATTTTCTCTTGTGTTTGATTGCTTGGAGAGTTGTTCTCTTGCTTCTTCAAGTGTCCTTAGCTTGTATTTATAGCTTGGAATGTGTTTTATGTTGTATATAACTTGATGTTGTATGTTGCGATCAACGCAAAGTCAAATTCGCAACGCGAAATCGCAAACCAAATTTGACTTTCGCGTTGCGAATTTGACTATCGCGTTGTACATTATTTGAACATTTTTATGGGTACATTATTTGGAAAATAATGTTCCGGACTTCGTTAGAAATAACCCTTTTTCATCGGATTAATTTCGTTTTTGTGGGTACATTATTTGAACATTGTTATGTATAAATTTGTTGTGTATGTATGTTTTGGTTTGATTATATTATATGTATATTTTCATTCAGATGAGATGGGTTGTGTATAACAAAACAATCTATCTCTTCCATGTGAGTACTTTATTCCAACCATGTGACAAGTGTGACAACCCCATCAACTCACAACTCAGCTTTGAACTCAATCAATATTGTCTTTTAGCTTGATGGTTCAAAAGCATGTTACTTGAACAGTATGAATCAATTATGCAATTTTCATATACAATTTAACACTGCATTTCATATGTAATTGGCATAGGTCAGAATAACACTCCTTGCTCCGCTCATGTAGATAAAAATCAACTGCGATCTTAGCCCAAAGGGTATTATCCGTAATTGTGTCCGGTAGTGTTTCCCTCTCCCGCTGAGGAATGGTACTGGCCGATAACACATACGAAAGCCAACTCGCATCCATCATATCGGGCACAGGAGGGGGTTTATCAATATGTCGATATATGACGCCATGTGAATCGGGCTCTTGAACGGTGGACGGGACCTCTTGAACGATAACAGGGGCCTTTTGAACAGTGGAAGGGGCTTCTTCGATGATGAGAGGGGCCTCTTGAACGATAGGAGGTGCCTCTTGAATGATGATAAGTGAATCAGGCTTATTCTTACCGAGTCTTGGCACTAGTGGGGTGAACGAAGACATAATGGCACGTGTACGACGTCTGATGCATGAACCCCGTCGTGCAAGAAAAACCCGACGTAAAGCATCTACCTTATCGGGCGCCTGAAAATAAATTAATACATAAATCAGTAAATAAATAAATAAATAATGTCGAAAAAAGGTTATTTGCATTTTTAGTATAGTATTAAACAAATTTACCTCATTGCGTAGAGTATGAACCTCATTCTGCAATAATGAAACAATCTCGCGTAGAGCGGCAACCTCATCACGTAAAGTAGATACCTCACTGCGTAGCGCACCATTGTCATCGCGTAAAAAATCCACCTCACTAAGAAAAGATCGAACCTCATCACGCCATGCACCATTATCTTCACGTAAAGTATCAACCTCATGACGCAAAGTACCAACCTCATCACGTAATTCCCTTAACTCATCCCTTGGAGGTGGAGAACAGGGAGATAAATGTCGTGGCCTCTTTGTCGGTCGCCTATAATGAGGTGATGGTGGAGAAGAGGCTCGATGATGTGATGGAATACGTGATGGTGGAGGTGGAGAAGAGGCTCGATCAGGTGATGGCTCCAGGTGTCGAGTTGTAGAATCGGCCCGATCAGGTGATGGCTCTCGAGGTGGGGGTGCTCATCATCCGTCCCATCAACAAACCTCTTACTAGCTTGCCACCAATCAGTGACATGCTCAGCCTCTGTGGGTGTCAGCCTCTGTAATTTGATAGTTGGCCTCCTAACAATATAAAAGCTCAAACAAAGTTAAACTTGTACTAGTAATAACTTGTTTATATATGGTATTATTTGTGTGTTAACTTACATAATTCATCGTCGTATATGGGAGTCACTCTTCCCAATCCAACATGCGGATCCTCTTCCAGGTAATAACCCTAGGAATATCATTTGATCTTTTTATCGCATATGTCCGCATGCTGGGGAAAGCCTCAAATATCCAAATCTAAAAACAATATAATACACAAACATTAGTAATTGTTAAATAATTAATTATAATTTTGGAAACATTATATAGAAATTCTTACCTTAAAGGCCCAAGTAAAGCCTGTCAAAGTGTATTTAGAACCATCGCCCCGCAAACTTTTTCGGTCCTCAAAGGCAGACGACAACTTCTTCCAGGTAGCTTTCCATAGATATGAACCCCACGGAAACATGTTCCATGCATTTAGGTCCTCTACCAATAATATTAGGTCCTCAGAGATAGGTTGTCTGCCCTCTTTGCCTAAAAAGCCGGCATGCAAAAGTAATAAATGGCATACTCGGACAACATCAAGGTCATCCATCCGAGTAAAACCATCTTTATCAAATAATCTCTTCAAGTCGTCGACGTGTAAACTCGACTTCGACTTTGCCAGCTCAGGAAAAACCCGAGATAACCATGATGGGCGGGCGATATGACTAGTGTACCGACCTACATCATCGTGTCTGAAGCGTAGACCAGTGATTAAGCAAAACTCCTCATGCCCAAAACAAGTATGTGCCGGAGGAAAATGAAATCATATCTCCTCATCACCACGTTGTATCCCCTCGGGTAGATTGTTAGTCATGGTCTGAAGAAACAAATCTGTCGACATAGCATCTCCACCCGTATGTTGCACTTTCAGCCATGGCCCGAAGTAAGTATCCTCAAACAATTTTCTTTGTAGAGGTGTAAGCGTCGACGCAATTTTAGTAGCTAGGCTTAATTTATTCCTTAAGGTCAATGCAGCTGAAAAAAAATTCTACAAAAACAATAAACATACAGTTAGATATACCAAAAACTACAAATTATACACTATAAACAGACATGATATTAAACAGTGAAAACAAAGCCAAATATGTTTCAAACTAGCACAGTATTCACCCAAGTCATTATTCCATCATAGTTCACAAAATGCATCAGATAACATTCCAGAAGTAAGCACTTATATAAACATTTAAAAGGACAACATATATGTTTAGTGCAGGTTCAAGGACAACATAAAGAGTAGTAGTTTATTCTTGAAACTTAAATTAGCAACACTGTGAAGTTAGTATTTGTCTTTGTTTTTTGGTTGAAGTAATGCAATTCATTCAAGTTTCAATTTGCAGAATAAAAGAAGTTTCTAAACTTAAATTCACAACGCGAAAATGAAAATCACAACGCGAAACTAAAATCGCGTTGCGAATTTGGTGTTGCGCTTTAGGGTTTCTTCAACAAAAAGACAAAACAAAGACAAATACTAACTTCACAGGGTTAAAGACTAAACAGTTTAGCAGTATTGGCAGCAACCGAATGAATTTACTAAGCAATCTCAGTGAAATGGTTAATCTATATATATTGAAATTACCAGTAAATTTATCATCAATATAAGAAAAAACTAATAATAATACAAAAATTTCAAAATAAAAATAAGAGATTAAAAAAACTAACCCTCGGTGGTTGATTTTCTATTTCTTACCGTGAATGTTGTGAGGGTTGCTCTGAGAGATGAGATAGAAGGATTTCGTCGGAGATGGGGACGGATGTCACCGTAGAGAGTGAGAGATGGAGATGAGACTGAGTTGTGGTTTAGGGTTTTAGGTTAGAGATGATTTGTGATAATATTGTTTACATTTGTGTTGCGAAATTAATATTGTGTTTCGCGTAAAAACATTTGACTTTCGCGTTGCGAATTTGACTATCGTGTTGCGAATTTGACTTTGTGTTGCGATTTACAAATTCGCAACGCGAATTTGACTTTTGTGTTGCGAATTTGACTATCGCGTTGCGAATTTGACTTCTGTGTTGCGATTTACAAATTCGTGTTGCGATTTATAGATTCGCGTTGCGAAATTGGAAACTGGGTTGCGAAATTGGAGTTTGCGTTGCGAATTTGTTGGTCATTTTTGCAAATCCAAAAAAAGTTGGTTAAATTCGTATATTATAAGGCATTTTCGGTCACTGAGGTTATTTTCTCAACAAAAATTAGTCACTGAAATTATTTCTGTTTGAGAATTGTTGATTTTTTTCAATATTCGTTTAATAGTTAATTTAATTAAAAATCGATAAATTAATCAAATTAACTGAAAATATTTAATATATTATATACATAATTAATCTATAAAAAAAACTCTTTCATGAATTAATCTAATTTTATTCGGTTCGATTAATACTTTCTTAAAATAATTTATTTGGTTAACAATTAAAAAATAATTCGGATAATTTGATTTTGGAGAATTTGATACGATGGATAGTAAAACCGACCGTTTGAATTATCTAAACATTTAACCTTATAAATTCGACTTGATATCATCAGAATTGCAACTATGCTTCTCGTTCTTTAACATGCTATTCAGCTCACTAACAAATCTCTCCATAATTGGGGCAGGCAAGCAAAGTGGGATCACAATCCCATCTTCTCCTTCCTTGTTCTTATATGGTAAAAGATGTTTTCCATCCATAACATTGGCTTGCCCACCATACACTGGCTTGCCCCAACCGAAATCAATATCTCCGAAATCGATTTTCGTCACGTCCGACACCAAGAAAGACCTGTTCAAGGCGAGGGCAGGTCGGCCATTAGTCGCCAGGAAATCCGCCATCGACTTCATGTACTCTTCCGTTACCTTTCCCTTGGTCCGTTTCACTAGCTCTATAACATCCACCAATGGACTCTGGCACAGTGTCCCCGCAGTCGTTACGGTTGCCGGATAGGCTGTTACGTTGCCGTAGTACCCCGAAGGTAACCGAGGATTAAACTTAGAACGTGCGTTTACAATGCAAATAAGGCAAACATGTTCCTTGGGGTCACGTTGTAAGGCTTTTGTGTGGCATTGCCACAGGCATGCGGTTAAGATGTCAAATGTGGAACAATGTTGGTGGTGGTGTGAGGGAAGCAATCTACGAAGAGATGAGAGTTCATTGGATCCGAAGACGAAAGAGAGATGAACCATTTTGCCTGGTTGAATGGTTTCTTCATCACTCGACTGTTGATCGAACTCGTGATGTGTATACGTTACTCGAGGTGGGTTTCGTGCGTTTAGAAGATGTCTTTCCCAAACGGGGGTGATGGTGGGAGACGAGGCACCTCGGGCCATTTCACCAACGGCGGTCATAAACTGCAACCACCCGACCGCATCACTCATGGTGTGGTTGTGACGGATAGCACAAATAAAACTGTTGCATTTTAATCGTGTTACCTACATATGTTAAAAGGTTGGGGGAAATGAAAAATATAAGCACAACTCTAAAAATGATGACCAATTTAAAAATGTTTTTTAAGGTAGAAATATATATATATATATATAACTTTTGTATGAATGAATATATAAATAATTCACGATGAGCCCAACTAATAAAATAGATTATTACTTGAAGGAAATTTGAATTTTAATGGACATCCTCACATTGACTAGCATCCGCCATTGTCTGAAAATAAAACTTCAATCAATTAAGTTTAGTTTGATCGGTAAGTCATTCATATAATTAGAGGAGGTAATTGGGTCATTCGGATCGGATTCAGTCAATTTATTTTAGATCGAGTCATTTTTGAATTTAGATTATGCCGGTGTAAATTTGGTTTGGGTCAAATCAGTATGGTTCAATATAAAAACTCAATTTGGGTTGGTTCATAATCAAATTGGTTGGTTTTTGAGTCACGTTAATATCGGATCGGTTGCTTTAGGTGGGTCAATATCGGATTGGCTTGTTTCAATTCATATCAACTATTAGATTTTGGGTCAATTCGAGTCAATTAAAAATTATATATACTCCACCCAATCCGACCCCAAAAATATATATCATCCACCGACTCTGATCCAACTGAAACTTTTAGAATATAAATCCAACCCGATATAAAATAAATATTTAATTAAATAATAATAATACTTTTTAAAAATATATATTATTATCCCAGATCAGTCGAGTCAGTCTCTCACCCTCCATCCAAATTAAATATTTGACCCTATTAAAAATTATGTCAAATCTCATTAATTTCGAGTTAAATTACCATCCTAAACCCACCTAAAAAGGACCGAAGATTTCTATTCAAAAAGTTCATGGTGTTCCCTTTATAGCCGACTCCGATCATCTCATCTAAAATGGGAGAGATCAAGACTAGATGGTACAAAAATTTATCAAATTGTTTAAAAAAATAAAATTATTTTATTACCCTTTTATATCTGAATTTTAATTATTTCCACTACTCAATTTTCTAATAGCAATGCTAAAACAGCCTTTATCACCATGCAGGAAATACCTGGATTAGAAGGAGGGGGCAATTCAGCACTCCGCCAGAACCTTCAACATCATAAAGAAGCTCATCCATGCATGGAAAAGGTGGTAGAAGCTCATCCCCGAATTCCTCAAGTGTAACATCGGCATCTCCTTCGATAAACAACACGCCTTCGCCGGTGCAATCGACGGAGAGTTTTCGATTAGGCCCTTCCCTTAGCCTACCGGCAAACGGATAGTAAAACACTAGAGTCTTGGCAAGTGCATCTCTAATAATCCTGGCAGGATCCTTCCCTTTCATGGAAGGGTTATATCGGTATAGCAGGATCATCGGATATTCGAATCGGTGACCCTCTCGATCGTCGATGTCCGACAACGGCTTTAACTCTCGAGGGGTGGGCTTAACAGGGGCCACTAGCTCTGGTTCTCTCCTACGGACCTTGAATGCTAGAGAAGTTGGTGGTATTTCCATGGCCATAAGAAAGCTTAGTCTTGGTTTTGGGCTCGAACTTTTTCTTCAATTCTTGACTATCTTCTTGGATATATACTGATTTTGTTTTCAGTAGCCTAAAAGATCAAGTATACTTTTATTTGTATCTTCTTAATTGCCACTTGAACATAATAATTAATGTATATTATTTTAAATTGACATGTTTCTCTTTCCGAGAGAAGTCATTCATTAATATTATTTTTTAGACAGTTGAGGTTTTCTTTGCAAAAATTATATGAATAATCACTATATTATATTGAAATAATTTTTTAGTCATTAAACTTTTAAAAGTTCTTAAGCAGATTCTGAACTTTTAATTTTGTTATAAAATACTTATCATGTCGTTAGCTGCCATCAATTGTTGTTAAGAGGATGGTGTGGTAATCGTTAAGTGTAGTTTAAAGTGGATTTTCACTACCCAAAACCCTAGTTGTTATCTTCCTCTCTTCTCTCCCTTTTTTTTTACAATTTGTGTTATTTTTTATAAATCAAATCAATTTTTTTCCTGTGATTTTGTTTAGCCAACTACGGCACCAGTTTTAATATTGGTTGTCAACCATCGGTTGTATTTTCTTTTTATTTTTTTAATTTTTTTATAATAATTATGTCTTTATGACATGTTTAACTCTATCTTTGTGGTATGTTTATCTCTGTCTTTTGGTAGTTTTCTATTTTTTATCGTTGTTTTCATTTATCTTTTTTTTAGAGTGAGATTTGACATCGCCACGATTTATTAAGATTGCGCTTATTTGTTATCATGTTTATCTTCCCTACTTTGGACCATCGGATTGGTTTGGATATGCGTTTTGCGTTCGTGGATAATTTTTGTATCAATAGTCACTACTAGAAAAAAAACCTCCTTTAATGACGCTCATTGCGCGTCATCTATGGGTGCAGATGACACACAAATGCCTGTCATTGAAGCCATCGACATAAATCTCAGATGATACACAATTCTGTGTCATAAATCTATGATGCGCATTTATGACGAATTTATGACGCGCATTGAGCGTCATTGAAGCCCCCGTCATAAATGAAGATGACACACATTTGTGTGTCATAAATTTATGACATGCATGTATGACTACATTGTGTGTTATTGAAGCACACCTCATTAAAAAGATGACACACATTCGTGTTTCGTGATTGTATTTCGTAAATTATATATATATATATATTGTAGATTGACAAATAATCAAACAAAATCACATTTAATGCCTCATAATACTAAATATATATATCATATTATATATAAGCAATCCATTTGCATACAATATATTCACATTAAGTTATCAAAAATATTGAAATCATATATCGATACAAAATATCACGGCATAATAAAGTTCTACTAATATGCCCTCGCCATCCGGTCGTGTACACAAGAAATCATCATCAAGTTCTACCAAAGGGGAGTCATGTGAAAAATCAAAAGTAGCATGGTATTCCAACATATCATCAGTTTCACCATTTGCTCCATACTTGTACATCTTATGTGGTGTGAAGCCGACAATAGACAAATTCACACATTGTCTACCTAGCAAAAAGAACACAACTTGGAAGATTCATTGCATACTATTAAGTCTGTTAACTAGTTAAGATTCTGCAGAACTTTGATAAGTTATAGAACTACTAAGTTCAATACAATTCTCCCAATTTTCAATTCATACCTTCTGCATATATGATCCAATGGAGTGCGGTAATGATCAAACAGTAGCCAGATACCATATCCAAGCTTCCAATGCTTCTGCAACTTGTATTTCAGAAGATGCAAAAGAAGGCTGAAATGGTACAATTACGTCAGAAGGAACAATATTAGATTTCCCCTTTGAGAAGACAATATTAGGATCTCTCTAGTAAAATTGTCACTTTAATTGAAAATAATTGTAACAGTTAAAACTAGTTGCAATATATAGAACAAACACATTCCTAATATGCACATTAAACTTCTGAAAACACCTTCCTTGGTCCAGAATATTTATGCAAAAACATGCACTCATGTTTCAACAAACCAAGTGACAACTTACTTTTTGAAACTCTATCATATTTTTCAACAACTTTGTATTCTCAATTCGAATGGAGTTGAGGCTTCCTGATTCTAGTTGTGTTTCATCAACCATCAAGTGTGAGCCCGCAGGTAGCTGAAGAACTCCAGGAATCAATTTGCAATACAACGTGATGTTATTTAGAATAGAAAAAGCTGAAGGTTCCAAGTTGTTTTCTTAATGCTTGCAGGCATTAACTTCCCCTAGTTGCAGGGATACGATTAAGGATACATGTTTGTTTGATAATCCTTTTTTGGGCAAGAGAGGCAATGTTTAGATATTCCAGTGTGAGAGGCATGCAATTAGTGAAAGGTAGCAAGTTTTGGAAAGTTTGACTAAGTTAAGTGCCAAAAACATATGCACTTTCTTTGTTTAAACCTATTAGATTTAGTGACAGTTTCCCGACAGCAACATCGTCTACTCGAGTGTGAACCTGTCGATCAGTTTCGTACAATCAAAGATGGGAGTTGAAAGGAAACATGGAATAATTTTACTTTAATGGGGAAGATTTAACAGACATAATTCAAGTGAATAGGACAAGAAACATCCACCCAGCATAATCTCAAGAAAATAAGATGATAGTTATAGTGGAAAACATTACCTTGGAGAGAATATGCAACAACATGAAATGAGCATATACGCCGTCATTTCCGAGAACCACTGTAAGATGCCCGAACAAAGCTTTCCTTATCTCTTTTTCACCAAATATGGCTTTGGCAAGAAGAACGAAGATTACAAGGAAGAAAGATGAGAAGCATAACAGAAACCTCACTAGACAATAGAAGTATTGAACTGAAAACTAGTCAGCCTAAGAAAGAAAAATGCAGAGCAATCCATAAATCTCTCCTGTAGAGAACCTGCTCTTTATTTCCACGAAAAGAAGGCGAAAACATAGATATTTAATCAAATTAAGCAACACTGTGAACGTATAACTTTTGAAATTAATTTCGATGCAATGCTCAGATTAATGCGTGGCCTAAAATAAGTCGTTTGATTGCAAAACCCAATGTATACCATATGAGAATTCAAGGGTTAAGCCTACTGCACTTTATTAACTCATTCAAATACCAAGTTATATAATGATGAACTAGTTTTCATTTATAAATTTTGTATATGAATACAAGGTTTAAGATAAACTGGCAAAACCATATAATTTTGAACGAAAAATAGATTTCAACTTTTGTACTCAAATTTTGCATAGATCTCATTTACTTTCTTGAAGTCTTTCAAGTCAGCTAGCCTGCACAAAGGAAACACAAGAACCAAATAAGATCTTATTGATTTTTTATTATCAAACCTTCCCAATATATAACAAACAAAAACGGAAGCGAAAATCGTACATAATTGTTGTCTTAACCACCGAGGAATAGTCAGCACCACCATCTTTCAGTATTTCACTCATATTTTTTAGTACCTATATAATCACAAAGAAAACTCAGTCACTAGCATGCATTCAGCTATAAAATTATGAAAAATTAGTTCACATAAAAGTAAGATACTTGCTCGGTTTGATCTTCTACAGTGTCTGAGATGAACTTTCCAGTCTAGAATAAAAAACCAATATAAATGATAAGCACAATGCATATATAACCGAAACCTAGTATCTATCTCACCTGAACTCTTCATTTTCCCTAAAATATACATATTCGGCACATTTACTACGAGTCCAAGTAAAATAGGCTAGGAATGCAAGCTTAAAATATGAAGAACATTTAATGAACATGCCACAAACCTATGGAATAAGACCGAGAACACCAGAGACAAATAGAAGATTATTGGCCTTGATGGCCTGAGAATATGGTCCCAATGTTGTAGGAGCTTTTTCAGTCATCACAGCCTTCTTAATCCCTACAATAAAAAACATAATCACAATCCTTAGGTGCATCTAATAAATCCATAATGTCTGACTGTTTAATTTTTCCTAACACAAACATGCTCATATCCACACTCACATTTGGTCCAACGAAACAACCCTTTAAGAAGGACACACCCATTTGTATATATTCGAATCATAGCATTAGCAAACCCTTAGCAGTCGTCATAGGCTATTGTCCAAAGGCTTCCAAACACAACGAAATAAAATTACAACGAAATCAAATATAAATTCCCCAAATTTATCTTACAAAAAAGACTAACTGACAAACTATCAACTAACCACTATAAACCCAAGGCCAGATGTTTCACAAGTCACAACCATGTTCTTTCCCCTTCACGTTCACTTGATTGAAACCAACACTTTTTACGACTCGATTAAAACTAAAATGTAAAACCAAACGAATTAACCCATTTTCAAAAGCAATCCATCAAATCAAAATCAAACAGTAAAAAGAAACTCATTATTTTGCTGATGTTTTTTTTTTGTTACCAGGAGAAGTGAAGAGGCTTAAGCAAGTAAAAGGAGAGAGCCGTTTCTTGAGGAGGCTTGCCATAAGGAAGAGCCAACAACGACTCCTTAATTTGTACGCAGATCAACAAAACAAATATTCGGATAACAAATATATAGCCAAAATAAAGAGGAAACTTACAAAATAAACAAGAAGAAAAAGAAAGCAAGGTTGATTCGTCTGTTTAAAGTTGTAAATGCAACTAAACAAAAACCCAAAGAAAATAAATCGTATCGGCATTAGCGAACAATAGAGTGGGATCATTGTGAGGATGAGGCGGAGGGAGAGACGGTGGCGCGGTGGAAGAGACGGAGATCTTCGAGTTCATCGGAGGCGGAAATAGGCGGCAGAGGATGGGGATTCAAACTCGGGCCTAACAAGAAGAAGAGAATAGGGATGAAAAGTAGGAGAGAAAAGGAGAGAATGAAAAGAGTGGAAAACATTAGGCGTGAACTAATTATCGAGGGAGGAAGAAGCGGGAAAATGAAAATGATGGGGAAATTAAAAGACGACTTTTAGAGATGACACATAATTAAAAAGTGTATTTCGTGTTTTTGCAAATTTTTTGGATTATAACTATTAAATATGACAACATTATTGTAAGTCATAAATCGTTCAGATTTTAAGAAACATGACATTTTTTTATGACACACATTTTTTGCAAGTCATAAATTAGCGTGTGTCATCGTTCGTGTGTCATTAAAGGTATATTTTCTTGTAGTGAGTTATGAGAAAAATATCCTAATTATAATTTAGTTTACATTTACGATTATACTTGTAAATTTTCATTATAATTATGAATATTTTCTACTTTTAATAAATCTAGTGATTTTCTATAAAAAAAAATAGACGGTGTGGTACACTAAAAGTCACGGGTAATATCTCATTTGCCTTATTAATTATAATTAAGATTTTATTTTTGCATCTTTTAATATTTATATACAATAATTCATAAAAAATTATAATTACTTTTAAAATTATAAAAAAAATATTTTGTAAAAAACTTACAAAGATCTGTTTTTTTACAAATCATAAAATTCTAAAAGATTCCTTCGTATTTTTCATTGCTTACACTCTCATCCTCTTATTTATAACCCATAATAAAGTTTATTTATCAATATTTTATATTTTTTATGACCATAATAAACTTATTCTTTTTTAAGTTTTAATGAATTTTGTAGTGATTTTAACATATTGTATTGAAGGGTTTAATCAAATTGGGCAAAAAGCCCGAGATAATGCGTTTGGAATTTTTAATTCCCCAGATAATGCACCCATCGAATTATTTCTTAGGATAAGTCATTGTTACAATGAATGGTGAAGACGTAAATAGAAACATGTCATAAAAATATAATTATTCATAAAAAACTAAAAAACTAAAGATAAAAGACAATCAATGGTCGACAATCAATATAAAAACTCGTGTCGTCGCAGGCTAAACAAAATCATAGGAGAAAAAGTTGATTTGATTTATAAAAAACAACATAAATTGTAAAAAAGAGGGAGGAAGAGAGGAAGATAACGGCTAGGTTTTTGGGTAGTGAAAATCCACTTTAAAATATACTTAAACGATTACCACATCATCCTTTTAACAACAATTGATGGAAGCTAACGACATGATATGCATTTTATGACAAAATTAAAAGTTCAGAATCTGCTTTATAACGTTTAAAATTTTATTGACTGAAAAATTATTTCAATATAATATAGTGATTATTTATATAATTTATGCAAAGAAAACCCTCAATTGTCTAAAAAATAATATTAATGAATGACTTCCCATTACAGACGCGCATATGAAGACTACGTATGAAGACTGTTTAATTATGTATTTATTTATTTATACATGCATTGCATTTTATCTTTATTTTTAATTTTCTGACTGCCGGATGTATTCTACGGAAGCTGCTCTCAACCTGACGTTGGGGACAGCCTACTACCCTACCTCCTCTTTATCCCATTACATATGAAATAGGGTTTTATTTTTGTTGTTCTTTCGGAAAGAGAAACATGCCAACTTAAAATAATATACATTAATTATTATGTTCAAGTGGCAATTAAGAAGATACAAATAAAAGTACTTGATCTTTGAGGCTACTGAAAAACAAAATCAGTATATATCCAAGAAGATAGTCAAAAATTGAAGAAAAAGTTCGAGCACAGTGAATTATTTCCCAGATAATACACCCGCCAAATTGTTTTCCAGGATAGGTTATTTGCTATAGTGAATGGTGAAGACTCGAGGTGATCTTTTCAAGACGCCCTGATTTCTATGCGTCTTCAACCCGAAATCGAGCACAGTGAAGACGTCGTGTAATCTTCACGTTTTAAAGGTGAGGATGCCAGGACTACCGTTCGTCTTCAAATCATTTCTCGTGCCCTTGAAAAGCTACACCACTGTCGTCTGTGCAGCACAACTGCCTTGATGCAACATGCCCGTGAAGGCTGGTCCATCCACGTGAATGGTGAAGACATAAAAAGTGGGCTCCCGATAAATGGGATGACAGTGGTAAGGAAAAGTGAAAAGAACCCAATTTTAGTTTGTGAGAAGTACCTCGGGAAGACGCCACCACCATCTATTTTAAAAGGGTCGCATTTGAGGCTATCATGGTTAGAAAACAAATTTAAGATCGATCATTATAGTATCGATGAAGAAGTTATATATGCAACTCGAGCATATATACTCCAACTGATTGGGGGAATTTTGATGCCAGATAAATTCAGTAATCTAGTTCATGTACAATATCTCCCATTGTTGGACTTATTTTGGGAAACTGATAAATATAGTTGGTGATCAGCAATATTGACGTTCTTTTACCGCGAGATGTGCAAGGCGTCATTAATCACAGATAATAAATTTACTGTAGAAATTGGTGGATGCCTGATGTTGCTACAGTCGTGGGCTATCAATATTTCACTGATTTATAAGTTGTTAAAGCTTTGTTTCACTGATTTAGGCATGGCTGACAAGTGTTCAATTTTGTGTGGAGGCTAACCTATCTAGGTTTTTTTATCGTCATTGAAGAGAATACTTGCACTCAAACTTGACCATATTACATGCTTAAATTTATATCCATCATTTGTGTATAATTTATGGTTAACTAAAGAGTTGCTTGTCCAGCTCAGTTGGTAGAGCGTAAGGTTCTTAACCTTGAGGTCGTGGTATCGAGTCCCACGGTGGGCAATTCATAATTACTGGAGGTCTTCCACGGAAGTTGCTCTCAACTTAGTGTTGGAGCATCCTACTATCCTACCTCCCCCTTATCCCATTACATATGGGAATAGGGTCAGCTAATTTTTTTTTTATGGTTAACTAAAGAATTTTTTCTGTTTGTTGTCAATGTATTTTCACCTAAAGGATTTTTCTTAGTAGTGTTTGATCTAGGTTCCTATTAATATGATGAGATACATACATCACATTCTTCATTTGCATAGAGGATCTTCTCTCTTTTATGGTTAGACCACCATTTGATCCTAATGTTGGTTTCCCTTTTCCAAATAACAGTTTTGAGGTTTCCACTCTTTAAGTGTTAGTGTTAGCTATTACTGCTTTCTACATTGAAATGCCTCCACTTGACAGATTTCTCAAGCTGAGTTTGACCTTGTTCAAAGTGTCCAAGAAAATGCAAATCTACGTCCAAAAATAGTTCAGTCGCCAGATAAAATACAGGTGCATATTCCTTCATATTAAGTTTAACTTCGGTAATTATGGTCCAGATATGTAAGGCATTGCTGTTAATTATTCTCAAGCCTAGTATATGTCATTCCATTCCAAATGGAATTCTAGCAAGTAAAAATGGAGAGTTAATTTATTTTGGAGACTGTTTTTATGTACGTAATTAGAAGGCTTAACATATCATTTGGTACCTGACTTTGTCGCATCTACAAATATGGTACCTTTGTTTTCTTTTTTACCAATTTGGTACACATATTTTCCAGATATTACATGTTTGGTACTTGTATTTGTCAAACTTTACACAAACTGTCCGGTACCAAATGTGTAATGTCTGAAAAATATAGGTACCAAATCTGTAAAAAAGAAACACAGGTATACACTCGTAAGATTCATAAATATGTAATGTTTAACAAATATAGGTACCAACTTGATAAAAAAATACGGACCACATTTGAAGAAGGCAACAAACTCATGCACCAAATAGTATATTAAGCCTCTTTAGAATAGACAAAACATGATATACTTATTTATTTATTTTTACCTGTGATATTATGCAATTATACAATTCGTTAGTAAGACTGGTGATTACTAAACATGTTGTTTATTTTTAGATTCTTTGGGGTGGGGAGCGAATTAGGTAACACTGGTTGGTATGATTGTCCTTTGCACTAAAACATTATTTTCTATGTTTCGTTCTTTGCAATTTTCCCCAAAAGAGAGCTTTAGAGGAGAAGAAATTAACTCGAGATGAGGCAAAGAATGCAGAAAGATCAGCTATGCAATCTTTTCAGCAGAAAACTGCCACTGTTGAGGTCTATAGCAAGGTATGCATCTTTCATAAACTACCGTATCAGGTGTCTTCAGACTCTGTCATCCATCTGAAAGCTGACGGGATGAGCACGTAGTTTGCTTGATTGTATTCAGTTAAATGCATTCCTACCTATGGCAGAGAATGCAATGCATTAGAGAAGGTTCATCTATCTGTTTCATGTAGAATGCACATTCATCTATCTGTTTCATGTAGGAGTTCAACAATTGCATACCTTACCTTTTGTGCAAGATCTTTCATCTGGCTGTTTGTATCTCCATTCTTGAAGTGCTTAGTCGTATGTTGTAGCTGAACTTCTTGCTTCACTCTTTGGCTTTTGTACCCTGTGCTGTTGGGAAAATCTGGAATCATTTATTGCACCCACAAGATTGAATTCTGTTTGGAGCTTTAGACAGATAAAATATGAGCTGAGATGTATGCTTATTCACATGCATACATTTGAGTTATGAACAAATAGATCTGTAATTGGACTATCAAACTTTAAATTTCCCTTAGAAACCTTGATTCTGTATTCTTTCATACTGTCAATGTCAAAGCTAAGCTGAATTTAGTATATCTATTAGCAATCAAAGTACATTTTTCCTTTTCAGAGTCCAACAATAATTGGTTGACATGATGAGAAGAAAGACAGTATGCGTTTATTTTTCTTATCTCAGATAGCTGAAAGAAACACTACTAGTTAATTTTAAATCAGAAGAGCCAACTATACAATGTATATTCTGAAAGCTAAATATCTGGAAAAGCATGAAAGTACATGGTCAACTAGTCAACATGCATGCTATATATGAACAGGTACACTGATCATGGACCAGATCCTCGTATGTGCTTATTCTGTAAAACTGAGTATTAGTGTACTTGACCTCCATTTTTATGGTTTCTATGGCTTGTTTGTGGAACAAAATTTTCATCTTAATAGGTGAACTCCGCAAAATCAGTTGAAAACGAATGTAAGAGTATGAGAGCTAAACTAAGTGATGATGCTGTATTAGACAAATCACTTGAGGCTAAACTGATTGAACGACAAGGAAAAGGCAGGTTCTTATTCAAGCTCTGTTGTATTGTTTTGTTGTTGTACTTCATTTTCAAATCACTTCGTAGATTCTTAAACCTTTAGCTTGTTCTTTCACCAGTTGGACCGTTGGAAGAACACCTAAGGCAGTTACAGAAAAAAAGAGATCTCAAGTTTGAGGAATATACTAAATATTGGAACAGTATGAAGTCAGAGGTCTTGTCTAAGCGACATGAGTTGGAAGCAAGGCAAAAGAAGGTTGAAGATGTGGTGACAGAGGTAGTCCTTGTGTCTTCTTTTCGAACAGTACCAAGATGTTCCTACTTTCTACCAGAAGTTACTCAAAACTCTAAACTCCCCTTTTGTATTTCTTGAACTTAATAGGTAGACTCCATCACTTTAAAGACCAGTATGGTAAGAGAATCCGGAGCTGCTAAAGTTCAACAGTTGATTAGTAAGTGTGAAGAGCTTGTAAAACAGGTATTGTCTCTTACTTTAATTTTTTTTTTGAATATTTGTTCTTTGGTTCATTAAACCGGTACAAATCTTGTTAAACTAGGACTACTGGAAAAACATGAATTAGTTAGAATAGAATAATTATTTGATAAATTTACCAGAAAAATAAAGAATTATTAATAAATGTTCTTTCATGTTAATAGAGGATTTGAGATTGCAAAAACTGGCCTTCAATGTGTGTACCTCTTTTAGTAATAAAATGCCTACTTATTTTTATTTAAAAAAAAAAGAAGTGTGTGTAAAGGAAACAGCTAGGGGAGTTATTTGCAAGCTATTCGAGTTTAACTTAAAAAAACTTGAATTCAATTCGGTAATAATCGAGCTGAGCGTGAGTGGAATTCGAGCACCATAATACCTGGCTCAAACAACTTGCGAGTCTAATCTTGCTTTTTATTCATACATATTTTAAATATTTTTATATTATTAAATTACGTAAATACCCTTATTTTACACGCAGAAGACACTTAATTCGAATTTAAGCTCAAGCTTAAATACAAACGAGCTTAATCAAGCTCGAGTAATTGAATTTGAGTAAAAAAATTGGTAAAGCTTGAGTAGCTTGATTATATGTCGAGCTTATATTTTAATGTTCGGTCGAGCTCCAAATTGCACCCCTAGGCCAATTGCATGAACTTTTTTCCCTTTGATCAACTATTAAGAACTCTTACTACTTCTATTTTTATTGTTGTTTAGCTATCCACATCGTGTTAATCGCATGCAGAGTTCACTATATTTGAACATTCTTCTGTTTTTAATTTATATAATAAGGCTTGAAGATTTTTAAACTCGATCTGAAACTGATCTAAATGATGATGCGAGTGCAGTTTCAGGAATATTCAGCTTCTATTGGACTCTTGTTGCCAGTGAATTATGAGAGTGGGACTAAGAAACTTGATTCTGTTGCTATAGCCAGCCTTTAACTTGCATTTGAGTAAGCCATTCTATTGTGAAATGCGTTTTGTTCTTCAAAACGTAAAGTCATTACTTCTTGCAGTGACATATACACATACATATGCATCTACTTTTTTGGTGCTGGGAGTAAAAAATATGTTGATCCTCTACTGCTACTAATTTTTTGTAGACTTTCTATTACTGTATAGTGAGGCTTGTCTGCAACTTCAATTTGTCGTATGTACCAAAAAGATGGCTCTAACATGTAAGAATATAAACTTTTTATGGTATTATGTAGAGACATGTAAAGCTTAGTTTTCAAAATCGTGCTCAGGTGAGCCTAAGGTATCGGACGCAGGAGGGCATAGAGGAAAACGTTTCCGGAGGCACAGGCGCAGTGTAGAATGGCAGACAAACAGCGGGTGTAACAGAAGAACATGTGTAGTAGAACGACGGGTATGGTAGAAGAAGATAGAATGGCAGAAAATCCTATATACCCTTGAACATAACATATATAATGTTTATATAACGTATTTGTAAGTCCAAATATATCCAACACTAAATAAATTAATATTTTTTTATTTATAAAAAGCCTTTTACAGCCTCTTCTACTAAAAATATAGCTAATACATTACTTTTATATTTGATCATCATAATTTTGATCAAAAGTACACTACTTTTTATATGTCTTTTAATTGATCTATTTTATAGTATATATAATTAATTTTAAAATAATAAAATATTAAATTAGATAATATTTATTTAATAATTTTTAAATTAATTATAAAATTATTTTATATTATTTAAGAATAAATAAAATAGTGATTATAAATATTAAAATAAGTAAATATAAATTTTGTGTTGAAATATTTTGGAAATTAGGGTCTTGTAAATTGTAGAAATGGGTCTTGATTCTTGAGGATAGGACAAATGATAATGAAAGAACAGAGTGTGGAGAGGGGATTAATTGATTTAGGAGTGAATCAGACTAATGGGTGTTAAACTACTATAATATTTATTTTGAATGATTTGAGGATAAATTTAATAAAAGATTCATTTAAGTACTTTAATTTACTATAATAAATTAATTTACGAAAATATAGAAGTTAACATAAATTTTGTGACTTAATTATAAATAAGTGCTTAAATTATATTTATTATTATTATTATTATAAGTGTTTAATATTTTTTATTTAAAATAAATGCGTAAATTTCAATCTATTGTCATTTTAAGATCACGTTTTCTTATTTTCTTTTAAAATACATAAAATAAAATAAAAATCAACATCAAAATACATATTAAAATTAAAGATTAATATGCATTCTGATTTTATTTATTATTGTATGTATTTTAAGAGAAAATAAAAATATATGTCATCTATTTGTTGAATAATGGGTTTTTTGTTGGATGATAATAGTTTGATCTAATGAAATAAAATACTATATATTTATTTTAATAAGAAAAACTTTAAACAATTAAATCAAAATAAAAAGTAGATACAATTTAATTTTTTATTTTATAATTAAGTTAAATTTTATTTATGAATAAATTTGAGCAAAATAAATGATTTTTTTAAAATATAGAAATCTAAGTCATTTATTACAGTACATATGAAAAACGTCATGTGGGTATGATGAATTTTATAAAATATATAAAAAAATTAAAACTCATCGCAAGAGTGTGAAGAGTTCCATGTAATTTTGTTTCATATTATATGAAGAGTTATAATTCTTTTTAATATATATTTATGAAATTCTTCATGGGACATTACGAGTTTCACAAGCACTGCAATTTTAAATTTTACCAAAATAAATTTGAAGCTGTTTTATCTCACTAATTAATTAATTTTCCGGCATTATTTACTTAATTTTACCGAATAAACGATAAGACGGGAAATAATTAAGTTTTATAAAATAATATTTTATTTTATTTTAGATTTTATTAATTAATAATAGTTTAATGAAAAATGTAAAATAAAATTTTACCATAATCTGGTTTGTAAATAAGTTGACACTGCCAATAAAAGACTGGATAAAATGAATCATTTTGTAGGACAGAATGAAGTTGATAGTTTTAGCAGCAGCCGGCACATAGCAGTGTGTGCGAGTTTTTTAAGATCTAGACCGGACCGATATCATTTTCTTCTAATCGAAGATAATAAAATTTGAAAATATATATATTTACTTAAATTTGATTTATATTTGTTGGCACTTATGATTTTTTATTTAATTAGATACTTAAAATTTAATTTAGTTATTTATTATCTTAAAGTATAACTCAATTTATTTTATAGCTTAAATCAGTATTTAAATTTGATTTTTATTTAAATTAATATAATATTAATTTATTGGTTTAAATCAATACTTATATTATCTTAACCAATAAATAAGTTAAGAGTTATCTTTAAGACATTTAATTTTATTTTTTGGCTCATTTATATGAGAAAACAAATAGAGATCAAATTTGAATCTTAAGGAATTGTTGTTATTACTTGAGAATTCGAGTTCAAACATCGAGAATGTCAGAGTTTGAACATTAAATGTCAAAAGGTTGAGAGTACCGAGAAATCGTATATTAATATCTAAATATTTTTCGACCATGTTGATACATAAATTCGTCTACTTTTCTAACATTAGTATCTCTTTTTGTAACAATATTAAGTTAGGGTAGTGCAAGAGGTTACCACATCATAAACCAAAATTACAAGAAATTATAGAAAATAATAAATATATAATTAATTGTATATTTTAAAAAGATATAACAATATTAAAATATTAAAGTTATAGAAATTAAAATTGTTAAAAAAACTATCAATTTAAGAAGAGATAAATTAAAACATTAATGTGGACTAAAAAAATACTTTAGACGCTAATGTGAAAAAAATTGACAAATTTGAGCACTAGTATGGCTAAAATAAAAATTATATTAATATGAGAAAAAT